CGAAAGTGAAGAAATAAAAAAACCTTGTGAGTACCCAGGCCCAGTTGGGCACGACCATTTCTCCTATGGACAAAGGTCTTGTGCAGAGCTGCATTTCTAGGCGTTGAAGGCTGGAGAACGCTGGACGTCACCGAAGGCTCGTCTGTCCCTGGAGCGTCACAGGAATCAGTCTCATGCTCTCCACTCCTCCAAGACCACCACAGCAGCTGCTCAGGATACGGCCTGGTCCAAGATTATGGGAACCTTAGGATCATCTCGTCGCTGGTCTTGGATCGCATCAGTGGCACTGCATAGTCTCTGGGGGCCTCGGGATGAGTATGCCCAGGTGGAAATTCAGTATTAATTTCTCCCAATGTGAGTTTAAACACTATTTTACGTGACATTTATTGCCATAATATTGAAAGCGATAGCAGATAGTTGGCCTCAGATCTTGAAATAAAATAACTAGCAAACAGTTTGAATATGAAGGTCAGAACTGATAATCGGTGCAAACCAACCACATCACATAGTAGCCTATTAATGAAGTTAAAGAGGTTTAATATGTATTCATTAGGTTATAACTAGGGCCAGACAGAATCTGCAGACGTTTTATGCTATTTCTGCGGAGAATTTTGGTAAAAATCTGCGGATTTCTGCGGAATTATTTTGGGAGTATCCAGCAGAGTATCATAATTTACACTTTAATTTATTAAATAAAAAGTAATAAATTAAAACCTATATAATAAATAAAACCTGAATAAATTCCGATTTACACATTTACTCAAGTAAATAAACAAAATTTATAATGGGCTAAAAAATTTCAGAAATCTGCGGAATTCTGCGGAAAATCTGCGGAATTCTGCGCGTGCAGATTCCGTGTGGGCCTAGTTATAACTCATTTCATTGGGAGTTCGGTGGCTGGTATTTAAATGAATGGATGGCATTGGAATGTTTCTGTTGGGTCACGTCATGTTTGGTGCAGACACCCAAAATGCTTGTCGTTAAAATCTGGTTGCATCGCATTTAGTTAGGATTAAGTTATGCACGTAGTAATGTGTCGGTTATGACCTTTGACACTGACTAGCAAGCTAACAGTGTCCAGCAGATGACACCACAAACCAAGCTCCTACTGCACTGATTATGGCCAAAAAGTCTGGCCAGAACAGAAATGGTTGAGCCTAAGTGAGCCTGGTTTCTCTCGAGTTTTTTTTTCATTCACTTTGGTCAATTGGTTAAGGTTGATCCACCACTGTCGCCATTGGCTTACTTGGTTTGGCACTTGTGGAGCTGTGCATGGTTGGATTTTCTCTTCAGTTTTTGGACTCTCAGTTGTGAATATTAAACCACACTGAACTGAACTGAACTGAACTTAAACTCTGAAAACTGAACTGACACTGTTTCAATTAACTAGAACTTCTGTGTTCAGCTGCTGCAGCACAATCTACAATGTATAATGCTGGTGAAATAAAGATGAATTGAATTGAATTATTGCAGTTTGGGTGTGAAAACGTAAAATTCTGTCGTGCATTTAGTGCTTGTTTAAGGTCATCTGGTGATTTTCCATCATATTCATCATCATCATCATCAAGTCTTTCACTCAATATGTGAGGATTGTTTTGTCTTTGTGAACACTTTTAATGCTTCATACTGTACATGTTTGCTGCATTTATTGTAAGGTTTTAAGGTCTGTCTGATGTGATTTTTCTATGTGTGACTTGATTAGATGGGAATAACAGGACTGATTTTTCTACCCAGTCACCATAGCAAGAAAAAAAATAAAGTAGTGACTGCAGGTTGAAGGAAAATAGTCCAGTAAAAGTAGCCTCCAAGAGAGAAAATCTCATTCAACCTATTTTGAACATAATACTTTCAAAAATTGGATGAGGCAGTGGTACAGTAGGTAGTGCTGTCGCTTTACAGCAAGATGGTCGCTGGGTTGAACCTCGGCTCAGTTGGCG